ATGCGGCTAACACTAACACTGTATTGACTTGAATTATGGTTTTATGTAGGAAGGTAGGTACGTCTTCAAAACATAAACAACAAACACAACACATCAATATAACAATTAGGCTACGACGAACGATCCCACAGCTGACAGAAAATCCTTTCCGTTAACGGCAAGCGGCATGTCTCGAACGACTCGAAAACACTTATTTGAGAACCGTCAAATAGCGGCTAAGTTAACGTACTTATGGCTAGTTGCACCAAGATTCTGTTAATCCAAGTTTAATAAAACTGAGAATCAAAAATAAACCCCGATCATTTGACCTGACATTGCACGACACACAACTAAGCTCGGTTTGATTAAACTAGTAATTTATAGGATTTTTTTTCCTTTAGGTTGGCAAACATGTTAAAAATTTGTCAAATGTGAAAGCAAAAATAGAAAATATAACCTAGAAAGCGAATTATTTTTTGTAAGCTTTTCCGAATCGAAGCAGTGGCACCTTTGTATTTTGTAGTTTTTTTCTGCTAATTTGTTTCATTTGACAAAATGGATCCACTATAATAGCACAAGTAAAAAAGGAATCAGCCAATTTTACCAACAACGATTAAGCTCTCCTAATTAATATTGTGGCAAAATATAAAACCATTATTGAAAAAAAAAAAACTGATTTTCTTAATAGTTTTTTCTATTTTCGTAGCTAGCAATGTTTCAAACATTCTACCGCTCTTGGACAAGAAGGCCCCGCACTGTTATACTTCTCTATTATTTTCTTCCAAGTGTCTTTGTTTTTCATTGCTCGTAACCGCGCTGCTTCATTTATTTTATTTTGCAAAGATATTTCGATCGAGATTGATTATTGAATTTCAAAATGAAATTGGTACTAATAAATACTGAAATTCTAACAACATGAACATCGTAAACAGCTCAAGTCGACATGTCATTAAACTTTGCGAATTTCCTTTCTGCTCATTCAATTAGTAAGACTTCTCTTTAAACCATCAAAAATTGCCGTTTAAGTTAAACCAAGTTCAAATCAAATTAAACTTTTTCCAAGAAACGGTGCAATGCATTTCTTTGGTTTAAACCAAGATTACTGTGAAACCAAGATCAGAAAGTGTTGGTGCAAGTACCCATTATACGTTTTACGTTTATGTTAAGAATGAGCATATTTTCGAAACTGCCTATCAAATAATTCGCAGTCTATATTGGTCATTCAAGAAAATTTCAGTCACTGGGGTATACAGGGGAAGATCAACAGTTAGGTACCTACATGACATACTGGTTTAAATACTATGTCTTACATTTCAAAAGGATGTTAAGTTTTAGTTGGGAATGACTTTAATTGTATTCTTGGCTATAGCGAATGAACTATAAACTTCAATAATCACTTCGAGACACAATAATTATTAACATTTTTGATGAATAGAAATGAAAATTGTAACAACAATGTAATAAATTTATCAAACTAAAGACTATCCCAAACTAAAAACGCCAATATAGAAGAAAAATTATCATATACTGCAGAAACTGTAGTATGTACGTGGTAAAAAAAATAAGATTGACAAATAAATTTAGATTAGCGTTCGTTGTCTTTCAACAGAATGAAAATTAATGAAAATAAAACTAAAATTGACAACTGAATTCAGTGAACTTTTTGAAAAATACTCTCTGGCTACTTCTTGGCTAGTGAGGTAGCAGAATTGAAACGGCAAAAAATAGTTATTTATGTCATTAGGCCAAGAAGTCCTTTTTTTTGTGCTGAGCTCAAGGTTTGAAGGCTCAAGGCAGGGGCCTATAATTGAGCGAAGCCCAGAAAGACCTCCGGGGCCGAATACATACGACATTTTATGTTCAAGGGATTGCAATATTTCCATTTACAACTAAATCACTGCTTTTTCATCTATTTTCGGGAAAAATAAAAAGATGCAAATAACTAAAAATAAAACAGTCCTGCATTTTATTTCTAATAAATTAATTCAATGTGCTTCAATTCAATGAATAAAATTTTAAATTTAGAAATAAAATTTGTTCATAATATTGTCAATGAAATTGAAAAAAAATTACAAAAATACCTAATAACATAATATGGCTTGAATTTAAAAATAGACAACATATTCAATATAATGGACTATTTAATAATAAAGTAACATTAAAAAAATAGAATATTTGATATCTGAAGTCAAAGATAAAAATGATAAAATTTGACTAATATACAAATACTAGAGATGTACCGACTAGGGTATTTGCCGACTAGTCAATAGCCGACTAATCGGCCTTCCATAAAGCCGACTAGCGACTAGTCGGCCCGGTTGACTATTCTTAAATGCCAGCAAAATGCGACGCAAAGTTCTTCCCTACTTCTTGTAGAGTTAAAAAAATATTTAAAATGAATAATATCAATGTGTTAAGTTTTTGCTCTTTTTTTTAAATAGTAACGTTATCAGTAAGAAGATTATGTTTATAGTTTATTTTGCAATATGTAGAATATAATGCTTGTTTTTTTTTTTATCCTTTGTTCCAATAGTTTATATGAGCTTTGTTTTACTAGTAAAATATTGTTAAATAGGTACCTACGCCCTCCCAATTTAGCCGAAGCGGTACATTATTAAAGTTGTAAAAATCTGACGAATGATGAAGAGAGCAAGCCACTTGGCACAGATTATGTTTATGTTCAATCGTTGATTGAATAGTGTTTGGGAAGATACCCTACCTTATGGGAAATAATGACACAATTGGTGAATTTAGCCACACGCGGAATATCCTTAGGCATCCTCCGGCGCTCCGCCTGTCTGCTCCCCAGACTCTTTAGCCGCCCTGCCCGCGCTCGTTACTTCTGTACCTACTTGACCTACTTCGGAGTTTGAAGTTCGGTCACTTCCGAATTCGTGTTTGTGCTTTGTGAATGTGAAGTACAATTTTCGATTTCGGATTAGTTTTGACTGATTGATTTTTGTTTTGCAAAGTGAACAATAATATTTAATAAAATGAGTTTTCGTCGGACGTAATACTTTGAGTGTAAAAATTATAAACAAACATCGCAAGATTTTAAACTTGGATTTTAAACAGTGGAAATGCCAAACTTTTTGACCCCTCAAAAACTGTTCTAAAATCAAGAGGGCTTTGTGAAATGCATTTTTTGGAAACAAATTTTAGAGATTTTAAGCATCTAGAAAGCTGTTAACAAAATTTGCTGTGAAAGTAAGATATGTTGCAGGTAAGAAAAGTTATTATAGATATTTATTTGCAAAGTCATTCAAGAAAGAAAAACACATGTAAGATCGTCGTTATAAATACCTACCTACCCCCTAATTTAATACTTGAGTACCATAAACGTTGGGGAATCGCTCATTCACAGGAGAAATAATTCTTAGTTGGCACCTTGGGATATATAGGGTGGTCCAGAAAAAAACCGGAATTTTGTTTTTGAGCTGATTTTAAATTGATACACTTAGTGCCGGTACTTTTGCTCTCATTTGACAGCCGTTAAAAATAATCAGGGGTTAGAATGTGCTCTAACCACATCACACTTATAGACCTTGGCCCATGCAAAACTTTGACAACGTATCTAATTCGTTAATCGAGAGCAAAAGTATCGGCCCTTAGTGCCGGTACTTTTGCTCTCATTTGACAGCCCTTAAAAATAATCAGGGGTTTGAATGACGAATGTGCTCTAACCACATCATACTTATAGACCTTAACCCATGCAAAACTTTGACGACGTATCAAATTCGTTAATCGTGAGCAAAAGTATCGGCCCTTAACAAACAGTAAAATTGATACCGAATTAATATTAAAGCAGCGTTTTCCTAGCAACGTACATTTTACGCGGCGTATAACGTAATTCGGTCGGAGTGAGGCGTGAAACGCTGAGAACATGTCTAATGGAAAACAAATGGATGCGTTTTCCTACACTGCGTAAAAACGAATTGCGCAATACGGTCGACGCAACTGGGCTACTGCTCGGAGAGCAGTCCATTCTTATTCAGTTGTACGCTGCGTGTTGGCATAGAAAGTGCTTCTGTTGTATTATATTTATATACCTCAATGTATTATATTTATGTACCTAAGCTTTTCAGGTGGCGAAATAGGATGTCGCACACGATTACATGGTTCCTTACTTAAATCTTTTCTCACAAGATCGAGCAGAAATGAGAATTGCTGCCTCGTAACTCTAAAATATGCTTTAAATTTTACTTCGCCGTCGAGCAGATAGATGTCTATCGACTATCGATAAATATTTTAAATGCTCCTTCGCTTCTTCTTCTTTGAAATAATTGACTAACAGAATTTCTAGGCCTATCATGAATTATGGCGCTATTATATCAATCTGTGGGTTGCTAGGAAAACGCTGCTTAAAATTAAAAAACAAAAAAAAAAATTATTTGAATTTGTCTCACAATAGGTATTATAATGATAAATTCCTTAAATCTACCGATACTATTTTTTTTTTAATTATAGGTAAACTTTCTTTCACGAGGGTTCATACCTTTTGCCTTTTTTAACAAATAAAAATTGACTGAAACAAATCAATGACGTCAAAAACGTTCGTCGGTTCTTAAACCAGAAGTCATTCATTTTAATTTATCAAAAAATTGAACGTGTCATATGAAATAATGTACGACAAACCTTTTTTTTCAAGGTATGATGTGTTCGATGTCAAAAGTATGAACCCTCGTTAAACGATCTGTACCTAGGTAATCATTAATTAGAATTATTAGTTACATACGGTTAGCTACATACAAGGATTATCACAGATCATCAGCTGATTCGGGGCGAAGATTTTGTTGTATAAAAGTATTTAAACATACTGAAGAATGAGGGAAAGAATTTAGTTTGAAAACTCAGAGTAATAACATAGGTACAAATATAAAAAATAGTATTTTTGAATAGCTATAACGCTAGAACACCCCACAAAACTGAGCATTTTCCCTACGTATATAAATTTATGACAATATGTGATCATTATCAAATCTTTGAAATTAATTTGTTTAATTTTTATTTTCATGTCCCAGCTGGAGATGAAGAGGGGGCAAGTGCATCCAAGAAAATGAAGTTGGAGGAACAACATTTCCTCTCTGATAACTCAGGTTATCTACAAGACAATCTTGGTAAGTTAATGTTAATTTTTAATAAATAGAAAAGTTGTGTTTGCAAAAGGATCAGTAAAATAAGCAACTAAATGTAGTGTCCAAGACTCGATCCAAGATAAAGAAGTGCTGCATTTTTTCGGAACTGTGGAATAAAGTCCAATGTGTAAGCCATGGCAATCGTAAATCGTCTTAGGCCCGGTTGTAACAATAATGGTTGAACAGATGTTATGTTGAACTGCAGTTCACTGTTGAACGTGGTTCAAAGCTTCGAGTGTTGTACCACTGCAGGTTTACCTGAACTATCAGTTGCAATGGTTGCAATGCCCACAATAAAAAATAGGAAGAAAAATGAAAATAGGCACAACCTAACCCATAACCTATCAAAGTTATTGCTTATTTTCTTCGCGTTTTCCTATTTTGTATTTATTTTCATATTTTTGAATTGAATTATTCTTTATCATTCCAAATGTTCAAATGTACTGTTCGATTTCTGGACACCTGTGGGGCTCGAGGGTGTGCAACATTATTAAGTTATTTTTAAAAATCTTCGTCGTCTGTAATATCTTCCCACAGTTCCCACTCAGATCCATTTTTAATGAAATAAAATACCGATTATCAACTTGAAAAAATACCGGCCCTTAGACAATAGACAATACAAACTAATTTTGACAAAAGGTAGAAAAATGTACATAAAATTTTTTCAATCTTTTCGGTTTAGTTACAAAAGTGGTAATTCTCATTCTGGCACTCCTTATCTTGGAAACAGTGTATTTCACGATTTCCTAAAATATTGTCGGCCGGCTAAACTTGAATTTGCTGATTTTAAATAAAATTTATGGAAAGTGATCATATCATATCATCATATACTTAGTGAAAGTTTTGTTTTTATGGTTTACTAGCGGATACCCGGCGTGTGCTACTACGCTAAAAAGTAAGTACATTTTGTTTATTTGTTGAAAAAAGCAAATTTTTAAAGACGGGAGTAGTCCTGACGACCTGCCCACCTCTCCATCTGTCAGATTCGACAGTTGACATCTGTCATTAGTGGTCTAAAATGTATTATCATCCGAACTTAAAGTGTATGCAAAATTTCAGCAAAATCCGTTGCGAAGAAATGGTTCAAAAATTTGCACCTGTCACATTTGACAGTTGACGCCTGTCATTAATGGTCTAAAATGTATTATCATCCGAACTTAAAGTGTATGCAAAATTTCAGCAAAATCCGTTGCGAAGAAATGGTTCAAAAATCTGCACCTGTCACAATTTGACAGTTGACCCCTGTCATTTGTGGTCTAAAACCTTCTTCTCATTATTGCCTTTCATATTAAACTGGTTTGGGGCACATCGGTCGGATGGTTTCGAAGTCTATAACGGACATAGGTAGACAGACAGACAGAAATATTTCTTGTGTTTTATTCAAATATAATAAAAAAAATTGGCGCTGGCACTAGTATAATAGTTATTTATACGCCAAGTGAGTTAAATGAATGTTTATGCATGAGAAGGAAGTTTAATCCACGTGCCCTAGCGAGTGGGTTAATTTTCTTCGAAGGAATAAACATTTTCACTCACCTGATGTATACAAAATTTTAGCTCATTTTGTGGAAATTTAAAAAATAAGGTACCTATACAAGGAAAAATGCCGAGAGTGAGTTAAAAATATTTTAAATTAATGAGGTGTCAGATTTTTAGTTGAACAAACTGACTTAAAATTCCAAGAGTGAGTTAAATTTTTTTTAAATCACTGAGGTGATAAACGTCTACTTACCTTTATTGTTATGCGTTCAATATTCAATAATGCCATTTTTAAACGTCAAAATGGGCTAAATTGATTTAGTTGGATGTTCTAATTATCAATAGTAATATAACGAGTGCAATGGAAATTATCGATAATTTTTGGGAAATTTGCTCGAATGCATTTTTAGATTTTTAGTTAAAAACGCATGAGTGCGAATTTGTCAAAATTTAAAAATACCTATATTTCCATTGCACGAGTTGTATTTTATAAGAGAATTTTATGAATTAAAAATTTAATTTTTTTGTCAAAAAATGCCAAAACACCAGTTAGTGTGCAATTATCGTAATAATTTGAACTAGAGCAAACTTCAACTTTTTCCTACCGGACGCCAGAGTTTCGGTTAAAAATTAAATAATGAGATTTTGTAAATATAGTAGGTATATTCCATTTTTTTCAAATGTAACCAAGCGAGGCCATATAAATTTTTTAAAACAAGATTTTTTTCTCAATTTTTTGATATCAACATTTTTGAAATCCGCTGAAAAATAACCCAACAACTTTAAAAAAATGTTATTTCACTACCAACCTGAGAATAATCTGTATCTATTTGGGTTATTTTTCAACGGATTTAAAAAATGTTGATATCAAAAAATAGGGAAAAAATCTATGAGGTCCGGCTTGGTTACATTTGAAAAAAATGGAATATTTTGACAAAATCTCTTTGATAAAGGACCCCGCACACATCTTATGGGATTTTGGTGCCCGGTCAAATTTGATGAAATTTTGGTATGTTGTTCTTCTTGAGGTCCTGATCAAATGTGTCCATGGGCACAAATGAATCCTATGATTAGTTTCTGAGATACAGGGTGTTTAAAAAGTTGAATAGTCGATTTAAATTATGTGCTAACCAAACTATTTTTTGGGGTTTTGTAATAATGATTAAGGCGAAACAAGACTTTTACATAAATAAATGCTTCCAAACATAATACATTTAAACGATTTTGTATACAGGGTGTATCACACGTTTTTATTTCAATTTTTTTGACCCAATCAATTTCGGAATAGGTACTTCTAAAATGATTTGATGTAATAAATAGTTTTGAAATATTTTTCTATTTCTATTTATACAAAATTACGAATATTTGAAAGATAGTTGCAGTTTTCAGCTATATTTAACTTTGCCAAATTCAGGGTACTGCATATGAAAAACTTTATTATTTGGCATTTTTCACAAAATGTTCTTGATGAAATGTTCTGCTTTATAAAAAAAAAAAACTTCTGCTTTATTCCAGTCAGCCATGCTGTCAAATATTTCATTCGATTATTTGGTTGCTAGGTGATAATGGCAACAGTCAGAATATTGACGGTTACTGATATTTTGTGCATTCGATTAATTATTTCTTCTTTGTTGAATTATTTATTTTTATTTACATATTCTTATTTATTAATTCCAACGAATATACCATTTACATATACTAATATATAATTATAATAAAATAAGTGCTCTTAACGGTATTTGACATGGCATTTCGTCTCAGATTCAATTGTTATGTTTGTGAATCTGTCAATGCTCCTCGACAAGTAATTCCTTTTGTCCAAAATGAGGAGCTTAGAAACACGGCGGTTAAACGGAGGCAAGAACTGCAACTTCTGGACGAGGACCCAAATGATAACTCTCGAATATGTTTCACGTGCTATCAAAGTATTTTAGAAGAGCTTCAAGTTTATGCTGAAGATCCCGATCCAACTGTTTTCAAGGTACTTTTTAACCGCCGTCGTAACTGTATTGTTTGTAATCAAGAGGCTTTCCAGCGTATTTCTTTAAAAGCCAGAGTTGACGTATTTGTAAGAAAAGACATTTTTATTCCTGATGGTTCCAGAATATGTCCCGGTCATTTGACTATTCATCAACTGGTGGTAGCTCCCTTGCAAAATGGCTTCAGGGGTATCACGAGGCCTTATACACTTAAAGGTTCCGAATTAAATGCTTTCATTTCTCAACTTCGGAACAACGTAAATGATTTTAACAAGTTTGATGATGAAAGTAATTATACAGATGATGAGATGAAATCTTTGACCTCATTAACAAAAGAACAGTTCAACGCTGTTTTTGATAGTTGTAATAATGTGGTCATATATAACAGGTCAAGAGTAATAACGAAAAAAGATCTCATATGTTTTTTATGTAAACTTAAACAAGGTTTATCAGATAATTTTTTAACTGCTATGTTTTCCTATCCAAGTAGACAAACAACGAGTCTCGTCATTGCAAAAGTTACAAGTTCTCTAGCAACCTTTGTGAATCAAAACTTAGGATATGATCATATGTCACACGAACGATTCATTAGAGAGCATGTGACCCCTTTCGCTAATCAATTATATAATCCAGAGCCTCAGCTACCAAAAGCTATTGCTTTTATTGACGGAACGTACTTGAAAATTCAAAAGAGTAGAAACTTTCAGGTTCTTAGGAAATTATTTTCGGTACATAAATCATATCATCTCTTGAAGCCGGCTTTAATTGTTTCCCCAGATGGTTACATAATAGATGTGCATGAGCCATATTTTTCAAATTCTCGTAACAACGATGCAAGAATGTTAACCCACGAATATCAAAATGATCTTGGACAACTTCGAAATTATTTTCAAGAAGGAGACATATTTGTACTTGATCGTGGTTACAGAGATGCTCAGGAATTCTTACAAGACATTGGAATTCGAGTTGAAATGCCCGCTCATCTTGGCCGAAGATCTCAGCTAACAACAGCTGAAGCAAATCAGACTCGGCTTATAACAAAATGTAGGTGGATAGTCGAATCCCGAAATGGACATCTGAAATCAATATTCAAAATATTCAGAGACCAAATTCCTAATACTAGTATTCCACACATTCGCGATTACATCAGGATAGCATGTGCTTTAATAAACAAATATCATCCCTCAATTGTTATGGAAGAAGCGACAGAGAATTTGGCCCGTGAAATGTTATTGAAGTCACAACAGCGCAACATATTGCAGGAAAGACTGGAAAGAGAAGGATTACTTCGGAGGCATGGAGTATGGGAACCTCTTACTGAAGATCAGCTCGATTTTCCAATATTACCCATAGAAGAACTTCAACATCTAACTTTCGGAGTTTTTCAATTGCGTTTAGCCCCATCATACATTCAAGACAATAACGAAAATGATGGGAATCATTGTTTTGAATACGATACGAGATTAAACGATGCTAATTTGTTACGAATAAGAATGAAATCTCGGCACAGGAATTCTGTTAAGT